CTGGAGATTGAACCCAGGACCTCGTGCATGCTAAGCATGCGCTCTGCCACTTGAGCTATACCCTCCCCCCCAAGTCAGTTTACAATGTGTCATTTCTGGTGTACAGCATAATGTTTCAGTCATACATATACATGCATCTATTCGTTTTCATATTCTTTTTCATTATAGGTTATTTATTTATTTCTTAATGGAGGTATTGGGGATTGAACCCAGGACCTTGTACATGCTAAGCAGGCACTCTACCACTGAGCTTTACCCTCCCCCCATAAGGTTTTTTTCTGAATAATTTCTGTTGGGCAAAATATCACCAGCCTCAACAGAAAGCTTGGGTTCAGATCAGTGATTTTATCCCATTTACCAATAAGTTTTCCGTTTCAAGTAAAAATAAGAGAAATGAAGGAAACAGGTAGAAAGTAAATCCACTGAGAAGATATTTGCCTTTTTCACTTTATAAGTTCAGTTTCCGTAAGAAATAACAGAAGTTTCCCTCCCTACAAAAATCAATCACTCATCATGTAGCCACTGTTACAAGGCATTGTTATATAGGGAAGTCATTATAACAGTAATAACAGCAATTATACAACTATTATTATATGCCAGGCATTGTTCTAAGCTCTTTGCATTTATATATTGCATGCCTCATTTAGGCCTCACATGTACGATTTTAGTGCCTGGTCTTTGATCTTTAAGAAAAATAACTAGCATGTATTAAAAACTTAGCGTGTGTCCAGTGCTGTGTTTTTATGTATATCGTTTCATTTAATCCTCATGATGACCCTACAGTTAGGTATTGCCATCAGCCACAAACTGAAGCTCAGAGAGTTAGGTAACTTGCTCATAACCCCATAACCGCCAAGATGCAAACCTGGATCTTACTGACATCAAGCCTGAGTTCTTTGTCTTGCTGCCCTTCTGTTTGTCATAGAATTCGAAGCATCTGCAGAGGGTCAGCACATCTAATTTTCATAGGGCACAGATCTTTGGGGTTCTTTGTGGGTTTCCGTACTTTCAAAGAGAGAAGTGTCCACAAACTCTGGCTGGAATTTCCTGGCCCTCTCCCCACAACTAGGAGCTAAGATAATTGGAACTCCTTGATTCTGTTCCCTAACTGGGTATAGGAATAGCAAAATGATAGTGCTGGCAATAGGAATAGTGAAAAGCCTTTTAAGAAAAAAAACCCAAACAACAACAAAAAGAGTCCTTGGCTCTGCCACTTACTAGCAACTTGGAGCAAACTTCAGTTTCCTAATCTGAGCAATGGGTGATACAAATGCTTTGTGCCTTACCCATGCGTACCTCACAGATTTCTGAGGAACAAAGATGATAATACGTCATTGGAAATTCTCTGTAGATGTGTGGTTATTATTATACTGTGGTTCTCTACAAAGGTCTGAGGCTTGCCTCTATTGATGAGGGTCCCTTGGAATAATGTTATTTGATCTAAGGTTTAAATGTGTAAAAGACAATTCTTTAAGCTGTAGAGTAGGTTTTCCCAGGTATGAAAGGAAGTATCATTTCTGGAGTACCTACAATGCGCCAAGAATTGTAATGAGATTATACCCCTCATTATTAAACTTAAAAAAATTTTTTTAAAATATAATTTTAGAGGTTACTTTCCTTTTACAGTTATTACAAAATACTGGCTCTGTTCCCTGTGTTGTACAATACGTCCTTGAGCCTATCTTACACTCAGTAGTTTATGCCTCCCGCACTCCCACCCTTAAATACTCCTCCCTTTCCCCCACTGGTAACCACTAACTTGTTCTTGATATCTGAGTCTGCTTCTTTTTCATTATATTCACTAGTTTGTTGTATTTTTTTAGATTCCACATATAAGGAGTATTATACACTATTTGTCTTTCATTGCATTTCATTTTCGTTTAACTCACAGACATCCAGAGAGGGAGTAGTTGTTATTTTATAAATGAAGAAACTGAAGCTCGGAGCAGTTAAGAAATTTGCCCAGCATCACAAAACTAAGAAGTAGAACTGAGATTCTAACTCACATCTATGGGAAACGAATCTCCGAGCTATTTGCATTCACTCTAGTGCTCTGCCTTTTGGGTAGATGGGAAAGAAAAAAACAGAAAGCAAAAGGCAAGGATCTGCAGACCTCAAATGCCCCAGGTTCATGAGGTCTGCCTGAGAATTAATCATAATCATAATCATAATTAAAAATAATAAACAGGGATCAAGGTCAGCCACAAAGAAGTAATAATGAACGCTCACTTTCTTCTACTATTGCCTGCCACTTAATAAAACCTGTTTTATTTTCTCCATATTCCTGGGGAGAGCAGTGGGAAGTAGTTGGGAATAAGAATTATACCCACTTACTAGGTGGCAGTGTGCAAAACTGAGAAAAAGGAGCAGAAGTGCCAGGCAATATTTGAGAGAAAGTCGCCAACTCAAAACTGCCATAACGACTTGCTTCCAGGGAACTGGGCCTCCTCAAGGGTCATCTTCCCTGCCTGCAGCTCAGCTCACCTGCAGTCACTGACCTCCACGCTTTCAGACTCACTTTATTATTCCTGGTCGTTATTCCCCAGGTTTGGCCCAGGGCTTCCCATGGAAAAACCTGTTCTGAGACAGAAAAATCTGTGAGCCTGAGAATGTTCCCTCTTGTATTCAATAATGCACAGGGTCTCTGACACTGAGAGGCTCAAGGCCATACATTTGGAAAAAGAAAATTAAAATCCAGCGAACGTGGAGCTGGAGTTTTTAAGTTGTCTCATGGCTGTGGACCGTTGTCCCCTACCTGGGAATGTCAGCCCTTAGGTGTGGTCAGAGAACAGCGGAGAGATCTCACTGCCTGCTCTTCATGGTTCACCCTGGCTTATATTCTGACATGGAATGAACCTGAAACTCAGAAAATGTTTAGTTGATCTCAGTTAAATCATGCGCCATAGGGAAGGTTAAAAAAAAATCAAAGGGATTTTAAATGTTTCAGAATTCTTTGCTGGTTTGAAGGAATCATTTTTCCCAAAGGTGGCACGTGCTGCTTTTAGATTGAACTAGGAACTATCCTGGCCTCAGTACTCAGGGAAAACTTGCACTGACCTCAGTATCTTCAATCTGCAAAATGGGGATAAAGTACCTCATAGGATTGATTTGTAAGATCAGGTAAGATGAAGTGGGTGAATGAGGTGGGTGAAGTGCAAAGTGCCTCATTCATATAGAGGGACGATGATTTTTCTCTTTAAAAATGAAGTTAAGTGGAGGAAAAAGTGTGTCAGCACTGATCACATTTTGCCTTCAAAAATCACTTTGGAATATTTATGAGGAATTTAAAAATTATTTCCTTCTACTTCACACTGTTTTTCAAAATACAGTGACCATTATTTGTTCAGCATTAGCTTCTAACCAAATAAGTAACTCTCCCTACGGTCAGGTAGCAAATGAAGTGCCTAAATCCAAATTAGAATGAAGCATGCGTCCAAGGTTTATTGCTATGTCCAGGGTCCTGAGCTTCCTTTCCATCAGCGAATTTCGTGGAATGTAGAGGCCAATTTATCTCCACATATCCTGTCAATCTTGCAACTTTTAAATGAGATGAAAACCAGTAGGACACTATTTTATAGAAACTTTATTTTCCATTATTTTTAAGACTTCCCACAATGAATGTAAACTGCAAAAATCTAATTGTTAGACTCTTTCAGAAATGGAAGCTGGGAGAGGTTAAAAAAAAAAAGAAAAAAGAAAAATGAAAAACTGGCTCATGGCCTTACAGTTAGTGGCTGTGCTGGATCAAAAGCCCACTTTTCTGGTCACGACCACTTCTCTTTAGAAAAAAGTCAAGTACAAATACAAATAACAACAACAATAATTATGGCCACTAACACAATGTGTCAGGCACTGTTCTAAGCTCTGTGCATGTATTAACTCATTTAACCAGCAAGAAAAATATTTTTGGACTATTCCTTCACTAAAGAGCCCAATGAGAAGCAGCACTTTTTTTTTTTTTTCTCAGTTGAATGACATTGCAACCCGAAATCACAACTCCGTTTTAGGTTCCTGGTAGTGCCTGCTTCCTCTTCTAGTTTGTTTAGTCACAGAATTCGATTCCTGTTGGCCGATTACGCGCCTACAAACAGGCTTAGCACTCTATTGAAATGCGTGAGGCTCCTTAACTCTTGCATAAACAGGTAATGCGGCGGGGTGGGGCCCAGATTGCGGATTTCTTCGGGATGGGGATGGGGTGGGGGTTAGAGCCAACTCCCCAGAGATCAGTCAAGGTTAAGGGAGGGCTTGGTTGCTGTTTTTAAATGCAGTGTTTTTTGTTCCCTTTCTAGAAACCAGCTGTAACTTTAGGTCAGAGCGCATTAAAATGAGCCACTTATGAGCCAGCAGCGCCCAGGCCCCAGGCCCTGCTGCGAAGGCCCCGGCAAAGGTCAGGGCTTGGTCCGTGTGACGTTCCTTCCTGCGCTCGTCTAAGCTGTGCTCTGCCTCAGGTAAGGACACTCTGGGAGGTCCCCCTTCCATCGGGCACGCCGCCGTGTTCGCTGTGATCCTACCTGGTTAAACGACTTCTTTACTTGGGGGAAGAACGAGGGTGGGGTGTTCTGATCGGCTTGTGATTCAAAAGCAGGTTCCTTATTCCTCAAACACGGTTCTGCTTGGTTTCCCTCAACAGCCCAAAGGGGGCCAGACGTCTGATGCGGACAGATGAACTCAGGTGGAGCAGGTGCCACTTCTGGGGCCATTTCTGACTGTCTGAAATGGATGTGACTTTTTGAGCGGGGAGAGAAGTCGGTCTGGTGAAGTCCCCAGATCCTCCCGATCAAGGCAGGTTTTTTTTTTTTTTTCAACCTTCAGCAAAGGTATCTGCTCTCCTAAAACAACAGGAATGTTGCACTGGCCTTCAGCCAGTGGAGGCTCAGCAAGCAGGATAAAATTTCAGTGCAGATTTACGGGAAGTTGCCGGTGTTGGGAGTAAAAATCTGGTTTGGTGAGTTTAAGGGAAGGGAGTAGACGAGAGACAACCTTGCTACTGTGAGGCGAACGGCCTCGGCTGGGGGAGGGCAACAGGAGGAGGGCGGAGGGAACAGGGAAGAGCTGGAGACGAGACTCCGAGCGCTCCCCGTGCGCAGCGCCGGACGCAGCAGGGCTCCCGGGGCCGCGGATCTCCCCGGGGTGCGGATCCGGCGCCGCTCTGCCAGTGGAGTCGCCGCGCTTTCAAGTTCTCGCTCCCGCCAGGAATTTAGCCCCAGAGAGCTGCCTTCTGGTTATCGCTCCTGCTTCCCACTTTGGAATGTGCAGCTTGGGACAGTGAGAAGCCAGGACTCGGGCAGTTGTCCTCGTAGAGAGTTTCTCTCTGCAGGTTTCCAAGGTTAAGAAATTCTGACAAACTGGAATTCCCAGAGCCTGGGAGTTTAGCCTAAACGATCTGTTGCTTTAAGCGGCACAGTGGGGAGTAGCTGGACACTCCTTATTTTGGTTTTACATTAAAAAGAGGGAGGCCGAGAAGATGTGGTAGGTTACTTCCTAGCTGTGTAAATTGCTACCCGGCTGTGAATGGTGTAAATTTCTGAAGTGGGCGACCGCAAATACATAACAAAGGTAAGGTAGTTTTTGGCAATCCTTCTAACTACTGTCCCTTAATCTTACATTTGGGTCCCAATTTTGAAATTTTGTTTTCTTCTCTTTTTAGCCCTTATCTCCCTTATTCTACTATCCCCCTTCCGACTCTGGTATATTTAATGGGAAAACAACGGTTTAGAAAAAGATTTTAAAAGCGTCAGCTTCTGGAAAAGCAGAAAATCATGTACAGTCAGCCCCATCATGTTTCCTTTGGTGATGAAACCTTTTCCATACAAGGGACAGATTTTTTTTTTTTCGTCCTTGAAAGCATATGATTGGGCTGTGCAGAGGCACAGGTGACTTTTTAGACTCATTAGTAAAGTGAAATTGAGGAAACATTGGTGACAGGCATCTCATTTAAGTGCGTGTTTAGGCCGGGGGAAGGGGGAATGTCTTCCTGCAGTCATTTACCTCCCAAGGTAACCCTGAGTGCAGGCTTAGTTGTTAAAATTTCAATCTGCCTGAAACTGTAGGGCTGATGAACTGTGACAGCTGGCAAATCACCAGTCACTGGATATTTAAGAAATAAGTTAAAATAAATGAAGTGGAACTTTTCAAATAAGTGATTCATTTTTTAATTAGGTAAAAGTTCATCTACTCTTGGGTACTGTCCCAAGGCATTTGGGGATGCAGCTTCTTTCATGAAGGCTTATCAAAGTGATAGAAAGATAGTGTCCTCAGGGTACTTACTCATAGGCCGTAGTGATTTGAACGAAAAACCAACTTTTTTCTAGTGGCATTTTAAAGGCTCACTCAGTTTTCTTTACAGGAATGTAGATTAGAAATGTGTTCTTTAAAACTTTTAATACTGGAGGCAGAGAAAAGACAGGGTTGACAACACAAACATGAAGTTGTCGCAGTTTTAAGCACAACTGCAGTTTAGACGAAGAGCGCTTGAGAATTGCAGGTACCAATTGTAAAACGTGTAAGGTTGTCAGCAGCATGAAACACAACCTATAGACAAACCGGAGACAGGCCTAGAGGCAAACTCAATCAAGGCAATGAGATAGCACTTTGTGGGACTTTGTGTTGCTGTTAATTTAAATAATACTCTTTGTCATATTGATCTGAAATCTTGGAGGGAAACAAAACCAGCCCAGTCTGAAGGGGAAACAGGAGGAGGAAAAAAAAAGATTTGGGTTTTTGTATTTTTTCTGGTCTACCTTTCCCTTCACCTTGTTCTGCTGTACATAGCGTTGGTCTCTCTGACTTAAGTACTGCATACTGGGAGAATGAGGAATCAGACATTTCACAAGAACTCAGCTTCATCATTAACTTTCAGTATTTGTTTAGGGAAGAAATAAATTGACAAAAGCCAAGCTGCTAGTCTAACTGCCATGCTTCTTTATCCGACTAGGCTACACTTAAATTTATCTGCTCAGTAGTCTTTTGTGAACATGTGCTGAAAATGAATCAAATTTTGAAAATTTATTTGGTTATTGAGTTCTCAGAAGTTTGTAGGATTAAAAATTTGCCATCATCTTTTTACTCCAATCTCCACAGTTTTCATTGTCAAAGTATTTTTGATTACTCTTATGCTCTAAATTGTGAAAGGATTCTGCTCAAAGCAGTTGGCGACACTGAGGGTGAGATCAAGATACAAAGCAAGGAAACTATGTGCCTCTGGACACGCGTCCTCTGTACTTGCTCTGACTAGTGTTTAAGATGACTCCCATTTTTTTTTTCCCCTCACATGATAAAAGCATTCAGATTAGACTGTTCTCTTTGGTTTACTAGTAACGGAACCTGTTCTCAGTAATTTAAACAAAGATTAGAAGGTTAGAGTAAATGAAATTATTTTCCTACAAAGTGAATTTGGTTTCCAAATTCTCCTCTTGATCTGATGATTAAAAATAAATCATGTCCCAAATGACTGAGCTTCGACTGCTGTAGGAAAGTATTTGTCTATTTCAGACAGGTTTCCACCTCCACATTTCAAGTCCCTTCTGGTATTTCAGGAAAGGGCTGGGGAATGGATGTAGGGGTGCTGGTGGAGGGGGAGGGAGATCTCTTTAAAGTTGGACCAAAGTTCAAGGGAAACTGATTCAGTTTTCCCAGAGGATGCAAAATCCAAGAAAAGACTCTGAAGAGGACTAAAGTTTGGGATTCAGAAGACTTAGAAAAAGAATAGATTTTTGCGTGAATCTAGACTTTGTGTGCCAAATGTTTGTGAAATTACAATGAATATGTAAATCAGTTTAAAAAGTGTTTTTTGGAATGATTCCAAGTTAAAGGTTATATTGGAATGATTTAGCTGCTGGCCTGATCAAGAGAGAAATTTTCCCTCTTGGGAGCAGTCTCTGTATCTTATGATGATGTTGATTTTCTGGTTTAATATCGTTAAGAGTTGCATGTTAGTCAACACAACCACCTGCTCAGAGTAAACGGCTTCAAAGAACAATTGCAAAAAGATTTTCAATAATGGCAATGCAGGGATGACCTGGGATACGAGATTGAAGCCCTTTAGAAACTCCAGAGAACTAGAGTAGAAATGATAATAAGTAATTGTTCAACTGCCACCACAAATTGTTAGAAACATCGTGCATACTGGAGGATTTAGGGGGAAATGGCATCCTGCCACTTTTTGTGTGTGGTCCTGAATCATCTTGTCAGTAAAACACTCCTGAGATGGTCTGAGCTTGCTTTCTGATTGTTTCTGCCTCTTTCACAGTTGCCTCCCTGTCTATCCTGTCAGCATCCATATGGGGGAGAGGAGACAGGAAAACGATATCCTTCCCTTGAAGTCAGTGTACCCCCTATTTTCAGAACCTCTTACTTTTTGCTCTGAAAAGGGGGTGAGGAAGGAATTTTCCAGTCAAAGTAGAAGGGGAGGGAGTGTCTGGAGGAATAAATGGCCACAAAACAGGTGAGTTCCACCTTTAAATAATGTGGAATTCAGCAGAAAGCTCATGTGGAGATTGTCAATGCCCTCAAATATTGCAGGTGAACTGGTGACTGTAGGAATTTGAGGCTCACTGCCCCCCACCCTTGGTAATTCATATGCTCCCAATGCACTGCAATAGATGGCTGCTTTGAATGAGTTCAAGTTGCCATCTCTTGCTACAGCCAAAAGTAAACTGATTACAAAAGGCACACCCCTTCAACTGCACTCCCACTCTGCCTTTCCTCTACTTTCTGTAGTGGTTTAAGGGCACCTGAAAAAAAAGATTGTGGCTCAGTTTACGTAACATGTATTTAATACGAAGTTTCTTTTTCATTATGTATATCATTTTTGTCATCTTAGGAACTTAGTTCATGCCAAAGTGATCTGTGGGTGTGTTTAGATATGTACATTTTATATGTTAAATACAATACATAAGGAAACTGGTACAATGATAGAAATGATTGACTATGTAGCTGTTGCTTTTTTGGTAAACCCCATCAGATTTTAAGAGTGGGGTCATTTTAGAAATCAAAAGTACACTCTCTAGCTTTCTGAAGCCCACTCAGGAGAGATGACATCAGAAGACAAAATGCTAGTATAACCCCGAAAACCCTTTGTGATTTGTAGAAAATATCAATCCTTTGGTCTCAGCAGATTCCCAGTAGTGCAAAATGTCTGCTTATAAATTACAGCCGTTTATTTACATTAATCAAGAAAACAATCTCTCGTCTCAAATCATGATATTTGTCTTTGGGAACGCTATATGTTTCTGGTTCTTTCAGGAGCATGGCGGCCCAGTACCAAGACCGTAATAGGTGGGTATATATTGAATGAAAGAGGAGTTGCTGACAGTGTTAGCCTCCTGATTGTGCTTTGCTTTGGCTAATAGCAATTTTGCTCATATTCCTCAAGTTTCCATCTACTGGGGAGAAAGACAACCTGATCCCAGAAGCTATGGATAATCCATATGTGGGTGAGCAAGAGTTAACTATATATACCAATGTGCAGTGGGTGGGTGTAAAATGAATGCGGGGCATTGTGTAGCTGAAACAGGAACAGGACTTCTCCACCTGACCAAGGAAATACCAACCTGCAAAATTATAATAAGAAGTATTTACCTTTCAGAGCACTGAGACCCAGCTCAATCATTTTTGTAGAGCATTTCACATCATGCCAAGAAATATTTAATGAAATGAAGGAGGTTTTTTTTCAGGTGTTAATTCTCTTAGATCAATTTGATTGCCATTCTGAAAATGTATATTTGAACCTTTTAAGCTCAGGTAAAATAGTCATGTTTCTGAAAGTAAGGATCCGTGTCCGTGATGATAATAGCACTGTACTTTTTGAAAAGATGGCTTAAAGAATATTTCTTTTTGTTTGTTATTTATTTTTAAAAATAATAACATGGTTCTCGGTACACCAAGCCCTTGCCAAGATTAGGCCCATCTTCTCAGTAGCCTTCTCAAGACAAAGTTGCCTTTGTGTAACTACAACTGGGAGGATTTGGTGACACAGAGAACTCAATGGGGCACTGCAACTTATTATTAACAGAAAATTCAATGGCCTGATGTTTTCGTTTTTTAAAAAATTCTATCAGCTAATATCTATGATGTATTTCTCCATGCAGATGATCTTACTATATTTTAGACTTTGGCAGGGAAGAATGTGGTGGTTGGGAATTTGCCTTGGAGTTTAATTAGATTTTAAAAGGCAAAGGCTACAGCATGCTGATGCAGAGGAGAGATCAGCTCTCTGGCTAGTTTGTTCTTGGGGCAGTCAGCAAAATTTGGTCACATGTGGAGAGGAGGAAAAGGTGGTTAGCCAGCGTGAAAAATGACAATCTGGGGAAAAAGATGACCATTTGCACTCAATTCAAACTGACTTGGTTCAAATCCTGGCTTGGCCACTTTTGGAACTTCAGGCAGGTTACCTTAAAAAAAAAAAATCTCTCTGTGACCCAGTTTCCCCAACTGTAAAATGCCTACCTCATAGGACTGTTATAAGGATTAAATTAATCTATCAGATAAATAAGACTTAGAACATTACCTGGCACATAGTCAGTGTGAGATGGTACATAGTCAGCATGATATACATG